TCAGCGGAGGCAATTTCTAGGGAATCGTTCAATCTGATGCGACAACGAAGTGTTAGACGAAATCATGCATCTCTGAAATGCTTTCTTAGATAACACAACAGTTGAATGAGCAAATTGCATTGACCTAAGGTCAGTTGAGAAGGTCAGACAAAGGTCAAAACCAAGCTGTTTTATAACCCAGGGGCTTGCTGTGTGGGACAGTTTCTGGTGCTCACATCGAATTTATTGATAGCAGGAACCGCATTTTACATCTTTCATGGGCTTTTTAGAGGTCAACATAGGTCATTGACCTAAAGTGACCCAGTTCAATATTTGTTTTTTAGGAGCATGCTGCCTAGCGGAAACCTTGTCCCTTATTCCAATGCAAAACTCAGAGCAGTATTGTATGATTTTGGTCGCCATGACCTCCAAAAGGTCAAACAAGGTCACTAAACCTAAATGAGCATGTGACTTTTTCCTTAGAAACAATTATCTAGGTTCTTGGGGCACTTTGGAGACCAACCTGGAAGTTGACCTTGTTTGACCTTATTTAACCAGTTAGTTCACGTTACAGGTTAACATATCCTGTGGATTTGGTGTGAAGATATGCTGTAACATGTTGTTACATTAAGTGATGAACTTGATATAGGAGTATAATTACCTTCATCAATGACGGCGGCGGAAATTAGTCGAACAGTTCGATTTGCCCTTGTCTGAGTAAGAAAACCAGCTCTCCTTTTTCAGGTTTTGTCACAAAAAAACGAGCTTGCTGCAGTGATTTGTCGTATCAACGATGATAGAATACGCCTGAAAATATGTATGGTTGATGTCAACTACTTTTGTTTTTAGCTGGTTTTCTATTGCACTCTGGGATTAAAACTCTCAAGTTTCTTGGGTGTTCCCTTTACACCGCATGGTCACGGTATAGTTCGATTAAGGCCGTGCCTGAGGTATAGCACGCTCAAGTTTTTACAGAGTCATGAATTTAGACTTAAAACACGGCATCCTTGATTCGTATCCACAAACAATTCAAAACAAATAGGACCAGCACGTTACCAGCACCCCGTTGGTCGGCTCTGGCCCCAGTCGGCGACACACCGCCGTAACGCAGAAAAGGTCATGTCGTCCGATCGGCGAGTTATACTGGCGTCTGTTAGTGCTCCCATAACGACGTTGTTTGTGCATGGTCACACCCGCCGCGCACGCATTTAAGTATTCTATGTGGCCTTCCGTAACTCTGTAACTTGCCGGCTCGCAAACGCTGAATAATGGGCACGCCGCCGTGGCATGAGGCGGAAAATATCATTGACAACACCAAAGACAGCTGCTACGCTGTCAGCTAACAGCTGTAAGGCAGTGCTGTCGACAATGCAGAGTGGTTTTCTTGTCGTGTGCCTTTGAGTGGTTTGGCAGGGCCACCGTGGTCCGGGCATTACGGTACCTGCCAGTTAGTTATGATGGTGCACTGCCACGTCAGTAATGCACCGTCATAACGCAGAATTGTCGCATCGTCCGATCTGCGATTTATGATGGCGTCTGTCAGTGCTCCTACGACACTGAGCATGGTCGCACCCACCGCGCAGGTAACCTAACCTAACCTAACCTAACCTAACCTAACCTAACCCGCTGTATTTTACGCTGCATTCCGTGACCTTAGAAGTGGCCAGCTCCCCAGCACTAAGTGTAGACGCCGTTGAGGCATCGAACGGAAAGTATCAACGCCATCAAATAAATATGTTGTATTGGTAGCTCATAGCTGAAGAACAGTGCTAACAAAAATACACAATGGCTTTCTTGGCGTGCTCCTAGAAGTAAGGTTGCCGGGACACCGTAATCTGGCCAAAACGCTACTGTCCGTCTCTGGTCGCAGTTGGTGACGCACCGTTATGACTTGGAAAAGGCCATGTCTTCCGACTGGCGTTTTACATCGGCGTCCGATAGTGTTCCCACAACGAAACTGTCTGAGCACGGTCGCACCCGCCGCGCATGCATTGAGGCATTTTGCATTGCCTTCCGTAACTCTAGAAATAGACGGTTCGCCAGCAATGAGTACTAACGCCGTTAGGGCATCGACGAACTTATACCAATGACGTCATCAAAGACAGCTGCTACACTAGCAGCTGATAGCTGCAGAAAAGTGCTAACGAAAATACCGTGTAGTTGTCTCGGTGTTCGCCTGTCAGTTGTTTTCCCGGGCCATCGTATAGCCAACACGCTACCGGCCGTCTCTGGCCACCGCCGGCGACGCACGGTCATAACGGAGAAAAGGCTATGCCGTCCGATCGGCGATTTTTATTATTTTATTTACCAGTTTTGGCGTCTGATTGTGCTACCGCAACGACATTGTTTCAGCATGGTCGCCCCTGCCGTGCGTGCATAATTTGTTTTATATTGCGTTGACAAGTTCCGGGTAAGGCAACATTTGGTTATCATGCACCGCTATTTCGATTTAAGTTGGTTTAAGTCAATAAATTTGTTGGCTTAAACCAAACCCTATGTATTCGGGTTGCTTTGCCCACATCCGAAGGTGCATCACAGCGCGAGCATGTCAGGATAAGATGGTATTATATCAACCCAGTCAATCGGACGGCATTTTTGTCCGAGTCGTCGTCCAGATTTTGTTTTCATTGGCCGCATTCGATCTGTCGCCAGCACGTTTGTCAGCACCAATCACGGTACAGTATTCGCCCCGCGGCACGTCACGTTACCGCAAAGTCACGTGGTCTGCGACGTCACACTCCGACTGACGATGCCAGGATTCTTTGTCAGCCCGTCAACATAGGGAGAAAGCGCTACCAGATTTTAACAAATCACTCCGACAACGAAGCCGGAGTTTGATTTGGAAGCTGTTGTGGTGGCGAGTACGTTAAGTGGGATGGAGGCATCCATCACCATTTGGGGGGGATGCAACGTAGGCTATATAAAAAGGAAATTGATATTCCAAGAGTGACGGTAAAAAGGCGTGTGACAGTGACTGGTTTGGTGTATGGTTGCGCTCCCCAGTATATCAATAGCGTCGGAATGATCGCAAAAGATGGAGATCAGGAACGAAACGTCACTGGTCTCGAACATGGTCTTTGTCAGTGCAAGTGGGAGTTTAATGAAAGGATAGGCCTTATGCCAGCGGAAGAAGCAGTAAGAATCGATAAGCCTTTTCCACACAAAAATGAGTGAACGCTTAGAATGTGAACGGAAGGGATCGAAATGAGATAAGAATGGGGAAAAGCAATCAACTTACGGGTGGGATAGGTGATCGTTATATCAGAGCGGGATCCACAGTTCCAAACGCCACTTTATAGGTGGTGTGCCATGCTCGGCGATAAGCCAGAGTTCTCAATCTCGCTGGGTGTCGTTCGTCTACTGTTGTAAAGAACACAGTGTGTTTTTGGATACGACGCTTGCGAGTTTCTTGTTGGGTGCATGCAGGCGGTTGGTCTAAATTCGACGGCGGATGCTGAGCGTGCCATCGAAAGCTCGTGTGACGCTGTGTGGTGCTTGCATACAGTTGCACTTGGATCATGGCGTGGTTTGGAGACCCCGAACCGAAGACACGGTTACGGATCTGACGGACACCCCATCTGGCGGGCTCCACCGAAACAACAGCGAAACCGACATTCTGAACCTTTCTAAACTCCGCGAGACCTGATACCGCACGCCAGTTTGAGCGTACACCGTGGACGTACCCTTCATATGATCACTGTGTGGCTCGGCATAGCGTGCTATCTGCCATTTAGCCCTCTGCGGCGTCTTCTGAACATAAGCGGATAAGTAAAAGGCATGCTGTGCAGATTAACTGCGAATGACTGTCGGCGAGTCGGTATCGGTCTTGACCACGGTGGCGGAGCTCACCATATCCACACCGACCCCAGGCAGTCTGCTCACGGCGGCGGCGCTCACCATGTCCACACCGACCCCAGGCAGTCTGCTCACGGCGGCGGCGCTCACCATGTCCACACCGACCCCAGGCAGTCTGCTCACGGCGGCGGCGCTCACCATGTCCACACCGATCCCAGGCAGTCTGCTCACGGCGGCGGCGCTCACCATGTCCACACCGATCCCAGGTAGTCTGCTCACGGCGGCGGCACTTACCATGTCCACACCGATCCCAGGCAGTCTGCTTACGGCGGCGGCACTTACCATGTCCACACCGATCCCAGGCAGTCTGCTGCAGCACAGCCTGCAAGCAAATAGCTCATCGAGCCGTCGCCAGCGAGGCGATGCACGCGCGACTTCCGCCACTTTTGCGATTTTTTATCGCGACCGCCTTAAAAGCTCCCCTCAACTTCCAAACCTTAACTTTCATTTGTTCCGCCCTGTCGACACAGGTGATTACACATAGATTGGCGTGTTTCCCCTGCACTTACTCAGGGTTGTTGATAATTCTGACCGTTCGTCATTGTACCTCACCATACCCTGCGTTCATGCCCTTGGCTAGGTCAAGACGAATAACATTGCAGATGCTGACAGATCAGAGGTTCATGAGCTGTTTCATAGGCTGTACCGCACCGTTACATGCATGCTTGTATAGGTTGAATGTCACAATGCTAAAACCATGTACTTAACTGAAATATGCGATACAAATAGGTAAATATATATATATATATATATATATATATATATATATATATATATATATATATATATATGTACGCGTGTGGCCAGCGCCGCCGCAGCTCGAAGACATGGTTGCTGCGGGTCGACCTGAGCGGGTCGTCCCGCTCCTCGGGCGGTATGTGGCCAGTGCCGCCGCAGCTCGAAGACACGACTGTTGCGGATCGACCTGAGCGTGCCGTCCGCCACTCGGGCGGTACGTGACCAGCGGCGCTGCCGCAGCTCCCACTGCCGGAATCTTGTTCGTGGAGGTCACCATCAGCACAGCGCTGAGCAGCCGCTGGAAGGGAGACGGTGTCCCGCGCACGAGACCTGCCCCCAGTTCGCATGTATATTCACAGCTCACAGTACCTCGGTCATGCGATCCGCATTGCTCCCCTCAGCGGCCTCTGCCCGCGAAACAAACACGACACGAGCTCCGTCCGTGTATTGCAGCAGCACCACCCTAGGTCACAGGGGTCAGGTCACCATCCTCGCCTCCACGTCTGGGACCGCCGCAGGGGTGGTGTGAAGAACCTCCGAGGCCCCAGCGCCGGTACGAATCGAGCCAGCACGTGCTGGAGAGAAGCAGGCGCTGGGCGGCGCGCCAGTGAATCGCGCCAGGATGGAGGCGGGGCAACAGCGCGGGGGTCAAGACGGGCGCGGCCCGGTTCACCGGAGCCAGAAACGCAACATCGTTCGGGGAGGTATAGAGCAAATGAGGGAGTAACCAACGCGGCTGCTACAGCTGAAAACAGCCCCATGTGCGGGCAAACGTGCACGAGATGCGTTAGCGAGCTTGTGGTTATGAAAACGACAATTACGGAAGCGTGTCACAATTACATCAGAATCACGTTAGGTGCGCTGGCATGCGATGGTGTGCGTAAAACATTCCTGTTGTGGGTGCGTAAAACATTTCTGCACACGACTCAAAGAACATGCAGATCAATAGGGCCGCTCGAGTGTGCGGGAACTAGAAAGCGATAATTTAATTCAGATAAATAAGAACATTTTAAATATGGCAATAAATATGGTTGGGTTTTTAACAAGCTTCGTTGGCCATTTGCGGAAGATGAGTGTTTCGGAACAGCTTCGGGTTCGGTGTGTGCCGCAACGACTTCGGCGTCACAAATCTGCACCATCGACATCATACATCGCCGCCGGCAAAGAAGATCGAAAGCCTTTCGGCAGCAGTCGCAGCCACAACATGACAATGTCAGCGACCGAAGGGCATATAAATAACACGCAACACCTACACAATTATGCCGGAGGCTGTACGCCGTCTCCCAGCTCGTGTCAGAGACTGGACCCTGTTGGCGCCGGTCGACGAATATATACACGGAAACACTCACACTCACACAGACATAGATCGATAATAAGCTAATATCATACAAGCGACAGCCTGACACGGCCATCTCCCGCCCACAGATGGCGCTGCGTGTCTTTGGTAGACGCGAATCCGGTCGCCTTGGACCAGCCGTCGGCCGCCAGTTGCCAGCACCGTCCGCCAGGTTCGCCACCGTCGGCCTCTCACTCCAGTCAGCTGACCGCGGTTGAGCGCCTCGGCAGCTGACAGCCGCCGCGGTTCGCCTTTGATTGTCTCCGTTCGGTCGGCCGAGCCGCCGGTGACGTCAGGCACCGTGACGTCACAGGCGCGACCCCAGACCCACGCGTGGGTCTGACGAGGATCTCGGACCCTCGCCCGTCGTCTGGCCGCCGGGAGTCTGAGAACCGCCGAGTCTGCTGTGTCCAGTCCTCGCCCAGTGTCCAGTTTGCAGCGTCCGTTCCCAGCGCAGTGCCCGGTCAGCACCGCACCGCTCCCGCCCAGACTGGGCGAGCGAGGGACGAGCGCCAGTGCCGTGCAAGAGGCGGTGGACCTCCGGAGCCTCGCCGAGTCCGTCCCCTGGCAGCCGTGCCCGGCCGGTCAGCGGTAGAGCGGCAGATCCCCACTCAGCGGGTCCGCGTGCGTTCAGTGCTCAGTCGGGTCGCCACGTCTCATCCCCAATCAGTTTGTCTGCATAAGTTACAGCGTCCATCGGCGATCGTTCAACCAGCGACTCATCCTCGTCCTCAGCCGCTAGACCCTCGTCTGTAGACGTCAGATCAGCGGCCGGCAGTCCTCAGACCGGCGGTCGTTAGACCTCGGTCAGGAGCTCCTAGACCCCCGGTCTGGGGCCCCTAGATCCTCAATCAGGGGCCGTTACACCCGCGTTCAGTGCGCGTTAGACCTTCGGGCGGGGCCCGTTAGGCTCTCAGTCAGGGGCCGTTATACCCCGGTCAGGGGCTGTTAGATCCCTGGTCGGGGGCCGTAGACCCCAGCCAGGGGCCGTCAGACCGGCGCGGCGGCCCAAGCGCGTGAGAGCCTCGATCGGCACACCCCAGCCCGGTGGCACCGGACCGCCAGCCGACAGACGACCGACGACCGCCCGCGGGAGGCGGACCGGCAGTCAGCGACCCCACCAGCCCGCCGCTCGTCAGTCGTCAGTCGTCAGACGCCGGGCGAGCGTTAGACGAGCGGCCGGTCCGTGGGCGCGTACTGGCAGGCGGACATGTTAGCGCTCTGGGAGCGGACGCTGACAGCGGCCGGCGAGTACGCCATGCCCGGCACGGTGAAGCCGCCCGTGTGCTGTTTGGCGCGCAGTCGCAGGCTGGCTATGCTGGACGACATGCTGGGGCACTGATCGGGCCGGTACACCGCGTACGGGCTGGCGCCCCCGTACGGGCAGGCGGCAGAGGCCAGCGATGACGTCATCGACGGCGAGCCAATCGGCGACGTGCTGACGGCGGCCGGCGAGCTGAAGCAGTTCATGCCGATGCTGGCGCCCGGGGACTGCGGACGGGGCGGTGCGGGTTAGGCACGGATGTCAGAAGGTCAGACGGAGGTCAGCAGGGATTATCACAGCTCAGACAGAGGTCAACAGGTGGTGTCACGGGTTATACAGAGGTCAGCAGGGCGTCAAATGTCAGACGGAGGTCAGCAGGGGCGGCATAGATCAAACAGGCAAGAGACACAGGCATCAGAGGTCGACATTAGAAGTTGCAGGTCATCAAAGGACACTCGAGGCGTTACAAGTCATACGTAGGTCATCAAGGGTCCGCAGGGGCGTCGCAGGTGAGACGCAGGCCGGCACAGGTGGCATAGGTCAGGCGCTGGTCAGAAGAGACCGGGGCGGCACGGGTCAGTCACCAGTCACCAGGTTAGCAGAGGGTAGCGCGGTGGAGTCATGGGTGGACAAGACGGCATGAACGACGAGACAGCAGCCAGCCCACACGGACCTTCCGCTCCTCCTCCAAATCTGCATCAACACCACGCTTCATGACAACGCCGCGACACATGGCCCTCAAACAGAGCCCCGCTCCGGGCCCTCCCGTCGCCGTACCCCGCGCTCACCTGGTTCGGCACGCCCAGCGGGTTAACGCCCGTGTCAAAGCCGGGCCAGAAGGCCTTGTGTCCGAGTGGAGAGGGCACCTTGGCCGCCCAGTTGTTGTAGCCGGGGTAGCCCGAGTAGAGCGCCTCCTGGCCGAACGGCTGCATGAAGCCCTGCAGCTGGCCGCCGAAGCCGCTCTTGATGTCGGCGCCGTTCATCATCACCATGGCGTTGCGCTCGCGCTTCCGCCACTTGGCGCGCCGGTTCTTGAACCAGATCTGCCGGGGGAGGGGAGGCTGTGAGCCAAGGCTGAATCGCGGTTGCCGCTGGGACAGGCTGCGAACCGGGGCTGAACCGGAGTTTTGGGAGGGAGGAGAGACAGCGAACCGAGGAAGACCCGGAGCCCCAGGGGAGGACAGGCTGTTAACCGAGACTGAACCGGCGTTTTGGGAGGGAGGGGAGGCTGTGAACCGGGAAGAACAGGAGCTCCAGGGAAGGCCACGCTGTTAACCGGGACTAAACTAGAAGCGAGCCTGCCCGTAACCAGACAAAAGGGCATCTTGCCGACATTCGACATGTTGGCATGTCAGGTTTGGGACCTCCTGCAGCGAGGATGCAGGAGGCCCCAACCAGATCGGGGGACGGCAGATCGGGGGATCGGGCAGATCGGGGGATGGGCACGGGGTGCCGATGCACGGCGAAGCTCGTCTGAAGCCTGTCCCGATAGCTCGGCTGGTTAGAGCGGCTGTCTTCCGATCCGCACACCCGTGGTGAGGTAGGCTTGCTCGCTTTAAGCGCCGCTATTTGCCTCTGACTGGGATGGTCTGCGGACGGTGGCAGCGGCCGCGCTGAAGGTCTGGTGACGTCAGAGGGCAGGACCAACCGTGTAGACTATTGTGGCATTTGTCCGATCGAAAGGCTCGAGCAAAATGCGTTAAAGAACGAAGCAGCAGACAGCGGAGGAGCTCAATCAGCGCCGAACCGCGAATGGGGACGGGGGTGAAGAGATCCGTCACCAGATATGGTGAAAGTATGGGCAGCCGTATCGCAGTTCTGAGCCTGCTCTGGCACTAGCGGGAGTTCATTACCGACAGCAGGGACAGTATGAACCAGGTCCTTTGGAAGGCGTTTACTTCCGAGCCGGCTAGAACGACCAGCTGTGTGCGATGACGGTGATAAATCTTAAGGTCGTGATCATACGCCACATTTTCATCGTCATCCCTTTCAAGCTCAAGTTCAGCCCTTGTCAAGTGCTGACACCTATTAAGTCAGATTCTTCCGTAGTTCAGTAGTGTCACCTATACTAGGTTGTGTTCACGTATCTGGTGCTGCCACCTATACCCTGCCAAGCGGGCCCCGTTTCATCTCTATTTTCACCGAGTCGTCAACACCTCGTAAGACCAGGTGAAATCTGCTCGAAGTCCACGACGCGGAGCGCCATCAGCCGCGCATGACATGCTGGGCTTTCACGAAAGACGCGAAAGCCTACCATGTGTTTATGTCGGATCAGCTGACTAATGACATCGCCGTCAGGCGGAGCGTGCGCCGGCTGGGCGGCTGGGGATCACGTGACGCCGTGCCTCCAGGCTGGCGCGGCGGCTCGCGGCAGCAGCAGCTGCGTCCCACCGCGTGTTTATCGTCGCTTGAGGTGCGAAGTGAAGAACATCCCGAGTCTCGGCCGGAATTATGCATGTTGGTGATGGGATTATTCTTGAGAGCGGGATCACTTACTGAAGAGCCTGGTTTGTTGGCCCACCAGATGGTCCAGATTGGGGCTGTTGACACAGGCGGGAGGAGGCCCAGGCAGCTGGGGTCGGCGCTCGCAAGGAAACACATTGTGGCCGTAAGATCTCGGAAGAGCAAAAGAGCCACCGCTATGAAGAATTTGCGTATGATATTTGTGAACTCGGCGTCCCTTGCCCTCTGTCTGCCATCACTATGCAGTTATCGCTACCCCGTTTTTCATCATAGAAAACCCTGAACCTGCCGCCTATTTATCCTATACATACTAATGCGTGTTAGGTCGTAGCACAAGGGCGAGATAAGAAGCGTGTTGTTCACCTTGTCGCGCTAGCCTGCCTTTGACCTGCGGCTAAGTCAATATTTTGGTCGGCGGCAGCAGTGCGGGCCGTGGCCGTCCAAAGGCCCTTGGACAAAAGTACAGCACACCTCCGCTGCGAGGCGTGACCCCTCGACCTTGACATTCTGAGTGCGACCAGACGCTGGTTGGTGATGACTGGGCAGTGCTTGTACCCGATACAGGATCTGAGTCCCGATTGCGCTGTCGGGACGTCGTTTTGCGATAGATGTAGATATGCAGGAGGTGAGGCCACTCTAAGGGCAGTTTGATTAGGTTGGAATCGCCCTATGGGATCGCCCATTTATTTAGGTTGGAATCGCCCTAGCCGTTCGGCCGTCGGCGCACCGACGTAAGGAAAACCTTGGGGCACCGTCAAACAGCGGTGGAACCATTCACCAAAACTGAGAGATTACGGTACTGTCCGTCAAGCTCGGAGATGGAGGAGTCATTTCACTCTCAAACTTGCCGCCCCGATAATTATTATCCCCCCGATGCGGGATGGGGAAAACTGAGACGTGGGCCGGAGGCATCCCAGGCTCGTTGCTCCAGAAGGTCGGCGCGCCGCGCGGTGGTCTGTTCAGTCCAGTCCAGTCCAGTCCAGTCCAGTCCAGTCCAGTCCAGTCCAGTCCAGTCCAGTCCAGTCCAGCCCAGTCCAGTCCGGGTCACCTGAAGGCTCGTCCTGAGGGCTCCAGGTCCGGGCCAGGTCAGCACGACTCCAGTCTGGGTCAGCACGCGCCGGGTCGCCTGGACTTCAGTCGAGTTAGGCTGCAATCCAGTTCTGGTAGGTTGGAGTCCAGTTCTGGTAGGCATGAGTCCAGTTCGTGTCGGATAGAGTCCGGTGCAGGTCAGCTGAAGTATGGTCCGGTTCGGCTGGACTATGGCCCGAGTTCAGTCCAGTTCGGCGGACCTCATTTCGGATTCAGAGCCCTCCCAGTCAAAGTAAAATGAACCTCAGACTAGGTCGGGTCGAGATGAGTACTGACCAGTTCTAACCGACCCCTGTTTCCGTCCCGTTTCGTTTAGAGCCGAGTCCTGGCCCCTGGTCCCGGCCGGTCTGAGTCGACTCCTCATCCCGTCTGGGCTAGTTTGGAGTCAACTCCTGGCCCCGTCCGGGTCGTGCAGAGTTGACACCAGCCCGGCTCCTCCCCCCCCCCCCCCTCCCCCTTCCGCCGCCGTCTGCAGGGGGTCGCCCGTCAGGTCGCAGCGACCACCCGGGCCGGAGCCGGTGATGTCAATCCTGTTCGCTATCGGCGGGCGGTGTGTGCGCTCTCGCGTCACCTGTGGACACGACCGGCGCCGCTATCTGCCGCGCCAGATACGGCCCAGGACGCGCTGGCGGCTCCTTGCAGGCGCCGGCAGCGCGCCCGCGCCCCGGGCCAGGCCTGGGGCTGGGGTGACGCAGAGGCTCGACTACCACCGAACTGGACTGAGACCAGCCGTCCCTCGTACTGACCCTAGGTCAGGGTGACGCAGAGGCTCGACTACCACCGACCTGGACTGAGACCAGCCGTCCCTCGTACTGACCCTAGGTCGGGGTGACGCGGAGGCTCGACTCCCACCGACCTGGACTGAGACCAGCCGTCCCTCCCACTGGCCCTAGGTCAGGGTGACGCAGAGGCTCGACTACCACCGACCTGGACTGAGACCAGCCGTCCCTCCCACTGGCCCTAGGTCGGGATGACGCGGAGGCTCGACTCCCACCGAACTGGACTGAGACCAGCCGTCCCTCGTGCTGACCCCAGGTCAGGGTGACGCAGAGGCTCGACTCCCATCGCGGCCCGAGCTCGACCGAGACCAGCCGTCCCTCCCACTGGCCCTAGGTCCATGTCTTGCCATGTTAACAGCTGTGGACAGGGCTGTAACAGCTGTGGACAGGGCGGAGTAGCTGCCATGTCAAAGGTTTGGATAGATCCCCTCGACAGGGCTCGGTCGGGGCTCAAAATGTAGTTGTATGATCTGGCACCAATTCTGGTGCTTGGTGCTGGTATTGACCGGGTCGCGTTCCCATGGTCTTTACCTGCCACCAGAGTACCTTGGCTGGCCAGACGTTTTTCTTATCGCAAACACAATGCGCAATGGCCTGGGCGTGCGTGGCGACCCAGACAGGACACGCGACCTGCCGAAACCGCAGCGCTGATGCCACTGGCGTGCCGCCACTTGGCACTTGTTATCAGACCATGTTGATTCGGAAACGTACCGCGTCTGTCGACCCGCGACGTGTTAATCTGCAGCGGACTGCAACACTCGAGAGCGGCTTTATCGGGCAGATACGGGCCGCGGCCTTTGGATGTGTCCCGTGAGAGGGACTGAGGTCAGCCTAGAGCGCCCCGGGGGCCGCCCGGGGGCTCGGCCGGGGTGGGGCGCGCCGCTGCCGTCTGCGGGCGATGGGCCTGTCCGAGGCTACAACAGACACAGCTGGGCGTGTCCGAAGCTGGCACAGACACGGCTGGGCGTGTCCGAAGCTGGAATAGACACGACTGAGCGTGTGCGAGGCCGGAATAGACACAACTGGGCGTGTCCGAGGCTGGAAGGTACACTGCTGGGCGTGTCCGAGGCTAGAACAGACACAACTGGGCGTGTCCGAAGCTTGAATAGACACGGCTGAGCGTAGCGAGGCTGGAATAGACACAACTGGGCGTGTCCGAGGCTGGAAGAGACACGGCTGGGCGTGTCCGAAGCTGGAACAGACACAACTGGGCGTGTCCGAAGCTGGAACAGACACAACTGGGCGTGTTCGAGGCTGGAAGGTACACGGCTGGGGCGACTGGGTGTCTTACTGAAGCGCCCATGCGCAGGCTCCTCATTCAAATCGCTGGGCGTTCGCTCTGTCGTTGCTCAGAAAGTGCTACCGGGCAATTTTTGACGTCAGTTTCTCGTGAGGATATTGAGCGGCGTGTTACCGGCTATGGAGGGCCGCAGAAATGCAGCCCGTGATGCCTAGCACGGCGAACCCGTCATGCAGAGCTGGTCCTGCGACAAACCCGTGATGCAGAGCTGGCCCTGCGGTGAACCCGTCATGCAGAACTGGTCCTGCGGCGAACCCGTCATGCAGAACTGGTCCTGCGGCGAACCCGTCATGCAGAGCTGGTCCTGCGGCAACCCCGTGATGCAGAGCTGGCCCTGCGGTGAACCCGTCATGCAGAGCTGGTCCTGCGGCAAACCCGTGATGCAGAGCTGGCCCTGCGGTGAACCCGTGAT